AAGTTTGAGTTTTGGCACTTCTGCTCCCTAGCTGTGCTCCTGGGATCAGCTTCTTGAGGTCTCATCTTTCTAGTCTGTAGCAAGGCCTTTAATGAGGCACATATGCGAAAGCTCTTAGCACATGGGCTGTGCTCCATGACAGCAAATTAGTTTTTCCTACTCTTTCCATATCTGGAGAAAAGCTCTCTAGATAAAGTAATCCACCCTGCCCTAAGAACCCCATTAAGAATTCACTTATTTCTCTATTTCATTTATTCTCATCATGTTTGCTTCCTTCTCGAAAATAAAATCTGAGCTAATGGATGCCACATTCCAGGTCTGGGGGGTCCTGTGTTAAACCGATAAGGAAAAGAGGCCAGTGGAAATATATCGACCACTCAACTCATCTTAGGGTAGATGGAAATGCTTGGAGTTCCTGCACCAGACTGTTGCAGAGGCAGAACTGTGACTTGGTATGGGCTGCAGAGAAAGGTCAGGAAGTGGTGCTGGGAGAGGGGAGAAATATTCCCACTCAGACCTTGTGGGTGGGAAGTTTCATCTTTTCTCATATAATACATGATTATGGAAACTCCTTGACTACTCAATCCAACTGACATTTGCACTTGTCATTCATTCATCAGTCACTGTGATTATTCAGAGGTGAACACCTTGGCTCCTTCTCTATACTCAATCTAGTATGAGGAAGAGGAATAAATAATAGCATCAATACTTGCTGAGTAGTGCGATAAATAGTGTGATAGATGCTGAACAGGAGTTATCAGAAAACAAAGCAAGATTCCCAGACAAGGCGACCAAATATGGGTCTTCAATGACACACAGGAATTTTCCAATGGAATAAAGAATGCCTGGGGGTAGGGAGCAAGTTCTGAAACAGACGTATGACCTCGGGCAAAGCTTGAGAAATTGTGATTTAGTCCAGGTATTGGAATTAGTGTATACTGGCTGAGAACAGGGACAGAGGGGAGCCGTGTGCATATGGGGAGGTGTGAGTATAAGGGTTTGGGGGTGTAGGTGGGACCTAGTGGCAGTTGGGAGTAGAATGCTTGAGAGGGGGTGGGGATTTGAGGCTAGAGAGGGAGGGTCTAAATATCACAGGTAGTTCAGCTTTGTTCTGAGTAATGCAGGGCGTCTGAAGGATTTAAGCAGGGCAGGGATGAGGTCACATTTCACTACTGATTTTTTTTTGTAATATAAGTGTTCAAAGAGGCATAAGAGGGATATTTCTTGTTTTTGCGAAGTTTAAGATTTCAACGAACCTGCGTATGCCCCGAGTGCCCTTCTCCCTTCTCTCAGTGCTTGTTGTACTCTTGCAATACGAGTGTTCTAAGCAGGTGTCCCAGGCCCTGCTCCCAGCTCACTGGGTTGCTGCCATAATGCCCGTTGAGCTGTCCTGAGCCTCCCCAGAGCTCACACCCCATCTGCCACCCCTCATCACTGGTTAGAATCCTGCTCTGAAGATCAAATTCCTCCCAATCCAAAAACCAACAGGACCCTGGCTCCCAAGTGCATGGTCAGAAATGACGATGGCCTGAACTACAACCGTGGCATGTAGGGGCACCAAGGAGATTCCAGTTGGGCCCCTCTGTCCCTCCTAGGCTCTGGGAACCATCTTGGCTTGGGAGCTTTCTAGAGCATGACACACTCCTGCTTGAATCATGCCATCTGCCCCAGCACAGACTAAACTGTGGTTTGCACCTTCCACAGGACCTCAGGGCAAATATAAGCGGGAGAAAACAAAGGTATATGGATTGTCACAAACCATTAGGTAAACAGTCACCACTGGGTGGAGTTCAGAGATGAGGAGAATGTTGGCTAGACTAGGGGACCAGGAAGTTCCGTTAAACATTCAGCAAAAGCCACCCCCAAAACCCTCGCCTCTGCCTGGGGTGCTTTTCTAGCTGTCTCCCAGAACCACTCTGGGCCTGCCACACCCCTGCCTGTGCTCCAGAGCTGTGCCCCCTGCCACCCACGTTGGACATTGCTCCTGAGAGGAGGCAGGGCCAGGGCTGGGGCCTAGTCCCAGCCTCCCTGTTCTGAGTCTGGCTCTCCACCTCCTCTCCTTCAGTAAAGGCTCTGCCATGGTGCCTGGTGCCAAGTGAGTGCTTGGTTGGGAGGAAGAGATGAGGAAGTGGTTGACTTCTGAGGGTTGAGGGTGTATCAGTTGTCCTCAGCTGCTTCCTTTGAAGGGACAGGGAGAACTGTCCCTACGCAAAATTATACAGTAAATGAGGTTAGTCTTCAGCTCTGAGCCCCCTGTTTTGGTGGCTTTGCCTTTGCTTCATGTGTTCCTGCTTCCAGGTGTGACTTTCAGGTCTACTTCCCACCTGTGCAGTTACCTGACCAGACAGCAAACACTCACGTGCAAAGGGACTTGCTTAAGGCAAGGGGGTGAATCACAATTCATGGACTTTAGGATTTATGGGATCACCTCACAGTACTGCCCTCTGCCCAGGAGTGGACTGTCTAGAGCAGACATGGCCAGGGACCAGGCTCCCTGGTGGCCACCTCTTTTGTGACCACCGGGGTTCAAGGCTATGCAGGGCCTGCACAGGTGGAAGTCAGGCCAGGGAGGTTTTTGAATGGATGAATGGAGATTCCATTTTTCCAATGAGCACATGGAGAGTTGTTTACTCCCTGCTGTATTTAATTGCAGTCAAAATGAAGTTCTTGGCTTTTCTTATATTTTCCAAAAATGTAACCCCCTGAGATTCTTTGCATTCTTAAATGACATTTTCCTTCTTGTGGTATCAGAAAAAGGTGATCCACCCAGATACTTACAGAAGTACTCACAGTTCTTCTTGGAAGCCCCACATGAGATAAATGATGCTAATTTATGCATATTTCAGGGGACTAAATCCATACCCCAATGAGCTACATAGCCTTGTAAGTTCAAAGTTAACCTTCCAACAATGGGAGCAGAATTTTAATTGAAAAAGGTAATGCAGGCATCTAGCAGATGTGGTTTGTTTAGGGAGACTTTCTATTAGGCAGTCACAGAAACGGCTCTCTAGCCATTGTAACAGGCTTGTATTTAAATCAGATTTTATTTTTTTTAATAAGGAGAAAATTGCCCATGTTTGCAATGTTTTTCAATGAACTGAGATTTCATTCTTTTTTTAAAAATCATAATTGATTTATTTTGTAATGCAATATTGTCTAACATTCACTGGTTCATTTGAATAAATTATTCATCAGAATTTTTTCTTAGTGACACATCACCACATGCCTGCCTGGGTTCCATTGGCTACCTCCTGGTCACCAAGGTACAGGTTCAAGGTACAAAGTCCCTGGGTCCATGGGTATACCACCTATCAAAGCAGAATAAGTTGTCCTTCACTAAAGCCACAAAGAACTAGATTATTGATAAGGAAGCTTGATGGATCCAATTTCTAAAGGCAGAAGCAAGGGCAGAGTCAGGACATGCACCTGTTCATGTGCCTGTCATGTGTTTTTCCCTTAAGGTGTATTTCCTTGTAGCCGGTTCCATTGTGGAGTCAGACCCATCAAGTACATACAAAGGACAGCATATTTATTAATTTCTTTAGGTGAATAAAAGGATTTCCTTGAGTGTCTTAGTCTGTTTGGGCTGTTTGTTAGAAAAACATGCCTATGACTGGGTGGCTTAAACCACAGAAATTTACCTGTCACTGCTCCGGAGGCTGGAAGTTACAGATCAAGGTGCCAGTAGATGCGGTGTCTGGCGAGGGCCACGTCCTGCTACCTAGATGGACATCTTCTTGCTGTGTCCTCACAAGGTGGTGAAAAGAAGTTCTCTGGAGCCTCTTTTATAAAGGCACTAATGCTGTTCATTAGGGCTCCACCCTCACGACTAGGCATCTCCCAAAGGCTCACTTCCCAATCAGTGCATTGGGAATTAGGGCTTCTAGATTTTGGGGAGACAGCCATTCAAACCACAGCAGTAGGTCCTACTTTTCTGAATCAGAATATGGAGTCAGAACTGGCTGCAGAATTGGAGGCCTGGGAAGAGAGCAAGGGTCTTACAGATATGCGTCAGAGACTGAAAGCTGCTACATATCCTGCCCCCAACACCAAGGTCAGGTAGGGCCCTCTGGGGCCATGTTGTCCACCCCTGCCTAGTCTTCTCCTCAACATCAGCAGATAGCTATGAGACCAAAGAAGCCCCTTGTCACCATGGGGGTGCACTGCCAGCCCCCCTGGCCTTATTTCTAGGAACTGTGTCCTCTGACCTGTGGCAGTGGTCAGAGCCCTCCCCAAGAGCCTCCCACTCTGAGAGGCAGCCTGGCAGCCACCCCGAGCCACTCTAGAGCTTGCTCACATTACTAACCAGTGTTTCAAGGAGACTGTGACTTCTGGTATATTCCCGGGTGAGCAGGGAAGGGCTTCTTCTTACCAAAGAAAAGGTTGGAAGTCCCTGAAGGACTCTCTGGCAGAGTTCCTGCTCCAGAACAGCTATCAATTGCTAGAACAACCCCAAGATCAGTATATTCTCCATGGGGCTTTTTTATTATTTTTTTAAAAACCTTAATAGAACTAATTAAATATAGAGGTGTGCCCGAGCCCTAATCTGCAGCTCCTCATCTTTCCTCTCCTCCCTCCTTATTCCCACTGGGCCCCCGTGTGTATTGTCAAAGTGTCAAGCGAGGAGGGAAGGAGAAAACCAGGGGAGATAACGCAGAATTTGTATGCTGGGCGAAGGCTGCGGACACAAGGGACTTCTGTTAATCCAGTCCATTAATCAATTTCTCCGTAGAAATTGAATTAACTGTCTTTCATCAACATCACATCCCAGGACTTGCAAACACCGTGCACACAGGAATGTAAATGCCGCGGGTGTGTGTCTCCCTTCCCATGCAGGTGCACACGTGGGCTCTTGTTCTCTTGTCCAGTGCATGGGGAGCAGAGGCCCTGGAAATCAGAGGGGCAGGCCTTGGGTGGGCGGCCTTGAACCTGTACTCAGGGGAGCTGCTGAAGCAATCTGCTGTTTTGTTTGTCTTACTCAAGGTCACTGGAAAGGCTTTGTACTCCCATCCCTCTTTGAACTTAGCACACTCGCCACTGAGTACCACTGTGACTGGACTAGGTTTTCTTTGGGCTTGAGTTGCAGGGAAAGTCCTTGCCTGAGCCTGGCTGCCTCCCAGCCACGTCCTTCATCCAGCGAAGACAAGGCCCGTCCCCTCAGCGGCGCTGGCTCACATCGGCATTGCTCCTTGCAGGGACAGAAGGATCACTCACTCTTGGAGAGAAGCTCAGACATGACTGTGAGTGCTGGAGATGCAGGCCCGAGAGAGGTTAACTGCTGGGGTGTTTCCTGTACCTTTGGGTATTTCATTCATTTAATCTGTTAACTAATAGATAGTTATTGACTGTCTGCACAGTTTGAGGATCTTTTTCTAGGCTTCCAGGGAAGACAGATTTAAAAATGCAGCAAGAAATGTAGTCTCTTCCTTGATAATTTATGGCGGGATGCAGGGAGATACTGAGAGGGTAAGAATTCACCATATAGTTTAATACATATTGAAATGGAACTTTCCAGTCAATGAAGTGAGGATGGGTTACAAGGAGAGGAATTCACTGATGTCATAAAGAGGTAGACTCTGGAAGGACAAGCAAACCACTTGCCACAGGGTAAGAGGGATGGGAAGCAGATTCCCAAAGAAAGAATTGTGTGCCCCCTCACCTCCCCCCTCCAGATAAAATACAATGGTGCGTTCACACTCACACCCAGAGGGACATCAGTGTGCTCACAGTGATGTGACTTGTCTTCACCGACTGGTCTAGCCTCAGTGGCTTCATGCCTGCTGTTCCCTCTGAGTGGAGCACTTCCCCTCGAGCCTGTGGCTGGGCTGAGTCCTGTGCATCTCTCAGGCACCTGCAAGGAAGCTTTCCCTGGCCCCTCGAATAATGGGCTAGGCCCTGGGTTATATCTCGGAGCACATAACAGCCCACCTTCTCCCACCAGCGAGTGCCGTTGTGGTTATTGTTCAAGTCCCACCTCCCTCCCACACTTGTGTCAAGAAGAGAGGGCCTGTGTCTGCCTCAGTCGCTGCTGTATCAAGCCTGACCTATAGTAGATGCTTAAAAAATTCCCCACAAATCTTTGCTGAAGGAATGAGTGGATAGTTCATGCTCTAAGCGGCTTGTTTCAGGGACAGGGGAAATGTGGTCAGCAAGTGGCTTGCACAGTGCAGGGGATTTGCCGTGTGGGACTGGGGGAGATTGCTTGTCACGCTAAGGAGTATGGACTTGTCCTATAGGCAAAAAAGAACCATGGAAGGTTTATGAGCAAGAGAGTGATTTAATCTGATTTTTTGATTTGGAAATATAACTCTAGGGCAGTTGATTTCTGAGTTAACTATCCAGAGTTGGCTCTTATTTGATTTCCCAAGTTCTCACTCTCCAGTTAAGCAAAGGAAAGGAAAACAAGTTTTGGGTTTTGGATCCATAACTTGTTAGGGGCACGTCTTCCTTTGCTCATTACCTCCCTCCACCTGCTTTGCTTAGTCCCTCAGAGGCCCCACATTGTCCAGTGAGATTTTAAAACACACTAGCACGTGGCTCTGCTGCTCCCCCGCAGGGGCTGGGGGCCCTCCTCTATCCGTGCCATTGCTTGGGCCCTCTCCACCCTGCCTTTCCCAGTACTGTGGTCCTTCTTGGTCAGCTTTAAAGCCTACTCCCTCCCTGACCAGTGCAGGCCACCTTGCTTTCCAGGATTAAAAATACTCATATTCTTGCCCTTCCAAGACACTAGAAGCTTAAAACCAGGCTGTGGAGGTCACTTGGATCCATGCCCTCTTTAAAGGAGGGGAAACTGAGCAGAGGTGGATTATAGGCCAGGCTGCTGGGAGTAGCAAGATGGCACCAGACTATGATGGCCTGAACCCACTCAACCTGTTTGCCCTCCACGACCTGGCCGGGCTGGGCCCTTGAGCAAAGACTCTCTCCTATTGTAAAGCATCACGGACTTGAGACATTTCAGATGAGAAGAGTGTCTTCTGCTCTGAAGCTGACAGAGCAGCTGGACTCTGCTCTGTTCATGCCTGTGGACAAGACTGAGGGGCTGGGAGCCAAGGGAGTCCAGAGCTGGGCCTGGTTGTTGAGGTGTGACTTCAGGTCTCCTACAGGTAGGGCTGAAGCATCAGGTGGGAGTGTCCTGGGGGTCTTAAAAGGAAGGGTTTTTTTTTTTGAGTTTTCTCTTCTGTCTCCCCTCCCCATTCTGATGCATTCTGTCTTTCCTGCCTGTTCCGGTCCTGAGACTCACTTTTCCTGGGCCACCTCCTTAGCTCCCTGAGTGAGGATATGTGGGGAATGGTGAGTGGGAAACTCAGCCAGTAGAGACAGGAGCAGGATACCAGGGCATTACTCCGCTTGCTTGTCCCTCCGTGCCTGCCCGAGCTCGCCGTGGTGGCTGTCTCCCACCTTAGCTCTCTCGGGTGACTGCCATCTCGTGTTCAGCTCTCACCTGGTGCAGGTGACCTTGCTATTTCCTGTGCTCCCTCAGACTCCAGGCAGTGAGGCTTCCTGCAGCTGCTGGTCCCAGGTGCCTTGCACCCCATTTTGCTGCCCCCAGTCTCTAACAGGCCCTTCCTTGAGCACATCATTTGTTCTGCTTGGGTGGGCTTTGACACCAGGTCTGAAGGAAATTCACAGGCCCAGTCCTGTGGGAGGAAGAGTGTAGGACTATGGCATTTTGGCAATGATGCCAGATGTTGAGTAACACAAGGTGTACGGCATGTTAGTGAGCTTGCCCCTGGGGTTGGACGTGGGGAACAGTGTGGGGCAGAAGAGTACCTCCCATTCTTAGCTGGCCCTCCTGAGGATACTTGCCTTTGGGGGGGGCATTTAGTTCATTAAAGATTTTCATTCAAAAGGTGAGTAAGACGTCTCTACCTTCACAGAGCTCAACTCTCATGGAAGAGAGAGACACGTGACATTGGAGATGAATGGAGAGGACAAGGCAGGGGTGTCAGGAATGGTTGGATGTGGAAGCTACCAGCAGCCTCTGGACTGCAATGGATCCTGATGCAGAAAGATCTCTGGTTTTGGAGGAGGCAGATGTGCTTGAGCCCTGGGCTCCTTAATTACCCTCTGAGCCTTGGTGGTGAACTGAGAAAAACAGCACCTTGCTTGTAGGCTTATTTGAAGCTGTGCGATGCTGTGTGCAGTGTTAGGGCCAGGCCGTCAGTGAAGGGTCACCGTTAGGAGGGCATGTGCAGCCTTTAAGAATGGGGGGAGCAGGATAGCAGGACCCAGTACAGCAGAGCTGCTGCATAAACACTTGACGAATAAATGAGTGTTAGGAGTAGCTACCTCCATGGGAAAAGCTGCTTAGGGTGATGTCCTGCCCTTCACCACCCCCAGTCCCAGGACTGACTCCCACCAGCTGCTCTTCACTAGGATAATTCCTGAAGGGCACTAGGAAAATGGGGTGGCCAAGCCCAAGTGATTTCTTTGACCTGCTCTTTCTAGGTTATTCGGGCTTATACCTCTGCTATAAACTCAAGCTTACTAGTTTATTTATTTCCTTTAGTTCAGAACCAAGACAATGGAGAATGGAAAATACCAATTTCCTTAGAAATAGAACTTGTTTTCCCCTTTCTTCTATTCTCTTTTAAAAACCCTGGGCAACTGACCTAGTTTTTCATTCCCTTTGAACTCAACTCAGGCAGAACTTCAAAGCAGGGTTGTAACACTCAGGTTCCTCGCTGTATGTGGGTCAGGGTGACTCTTCCAGCTGTTGAAAAGGAGATGAGCTATGAGCACCCTCTTTTTAAGCCGCCTTGGTGCCCAGAGCTCTTTAGGAATTTTCTTTTGAGCTCTCTCGCTAGCCCTAAGCACTTAAGTCACGGCCGTTAGCAGGGAAAGTGGCAGAGGAAGTGTTTACTATTCCATTTTCTACTAAATGACTTTTAGAAGAGGGGTGGGCAGAACAAAGTATTGCACGGGTCTGTACTGCAGGCCCGGGTGAAGGGGGGCCCATCTTCCCTGCACAGCGTGGAAGGAACACCTGACCAAGAGCTAGGGAACCCACTGATAAACAGCGTGACCTTGGGTAAGTCACAGTTTATTTGTGAGTCTTCATCTGAAAAGGCCCCCTGAGGCCCTTTGGTTCTCTGAGAGGCTGCAGTCTCCTGTGGGCTGGGGGAGGGCATCTTGCTAGGAACTCCAAAAGTAGAAACATCCTCTTTTCTCCCAAATAGCACCAATATTTCCCTGCTGCGCCATCACTACAGGAAGCAGGGCTGGGTGGATGCACGGAGCGGGTGAGCAGTTTTCTCCCAGGGTGATCTAAGCTAATCTTAAAGACTAATCTCCCAAACCCCTCCTGGAATAGTGTCTTGTCTGTCTGTCTTTTTCTTTCCACCTCCCTCCCTCCCTCCCTCCCTCCACACAATCATCTCTCTGTGTATGTTTGTGTGTGTATGTTTTGACATGTCCACTCTGCACTGAGCACCAACACAGATGTGATCAAGAGCCACTCTTGTCCCCGTGGGACCAGCTCATGACTTGGGGCCGACTGTTGTTGCTTTTCATAGTGAGGGGAAGAAAGGAAGAATAAAAAAGACGAAATGGGCATTATTTTTTTTAAAGTTTTATTTATGCATATAAAAGCTGGTGTGCAGGCCAGAAGTGGGGGGGGGTGAGAGGATTCACTGGAGACAGAGTGGGGAACAGAACAAGCAGACTAACTGAAATACTCTGCTGAGGGGAGCAGCAGGTGAGACAGGAGAGGTCTGCTGCACCATGTTGTTTCTCCCTGGCTGGCCTGGGATTGAACTCGCGCTGCAGAGGCTGCGGATTTCTTCACAGTGTGGTGCTCAACCCTTTGCGCCACCAGGGAGACCGAAATGGACATTATTCCTAACTCCTGTTCAGGCATCTGAGGGAGAAACACAAGGGTATTTGAGCTCCTACAGCTCTTCTAACCCCCCTGTCTGAACCAGTGTATTCAGAGAAGGGCCCTGGGCTGGTGGTCAGGAGGATGGGACGACACGAGGGCGCGCTGTGTATAACATCCCACTGGGAGGACCAGGCTGGGCTTCCTGACTAGTATTTCCTTCTTCCTGTTCCATGAACTCATACAAGATAAGAGGATGGCAGAAGCCGCAGCCTCAATCAGGACTCAGCGACTGCTCGATTTAGGGTTTTTTTTTTAAGCATTCTTTTTTGCTTAGGAAAAAGAATTCAATTGACCTATGGGAAGAAATGTACTGAACTCGATGGTGCCAATACCAAGAGGCAGTGTGCTCTCCTTTATTTTCACTCTTTCCGCTATGATGCCATGGAAATATTGGGGTCTAACTTTTAGTTTGAAAATGCCTTTTATCGTTAAACTAAGTCTTTAAATCCAGCTGCTTTTAGAAAATTCACATTTTTATCAAATTATGTTTACTTCCTATGTCTTCCCTCTGTGGCAGAAAGGAAAGGGTAGAAAACTGATAGGTTCTGTTCCCCTGGCCAGAGGCATGCATGGGGTTTTTCTGTTTGGAGACCACCATGGTCCTAGCTTTCTGGAATACTTGAGCCCCTGGCACCACTGAGTCTCCAGCAGCCTCCAAAGCATGCAGGGTTGAGATTGCCACACTCCATAACACACTCCAGCCGATTGGAAGGACTTGCATGCCAGG